TTTAACAATAGACAGGCAGCGACTGAAGCGTGCGTAGTCCTCAGGTCAAACCCATGCTGAATTTCCACTGGCTTCAGCACAGGGTAGCTTCAAACCCACACTTTCACTTCCAAATCATGCTGGGCTGGTGAAAACAGAGTTTTTGACTGATGCTTCACACACCAATAAAGAATTTGGGAGTGCTGGGGGTCACTTGGAGCTTGCTCACAGCTCATCAGCGTGTGCTGGGCGCTGCTTTGGGTTATCTGATGCAGAGGAACACTTTGGTTTGATATGTCCTGCTGGCATCCAGCGCAGTGTGGAACCGGCAGCAGAGAACTTTATGTTGAACTGGGGCAGCTTAATTGTTACTCAATGAAAGCACAAATCTGCAGCAGAGCCATCGCACCCAGTCCAGGGAGAGATGCTCAGATTAAAGAGCTGGCAGGGAAAGACCCCTACGCAAGGGCAGGAAGATCATTCAGAAATAGTCATAAAACACAAGATGAATCTTTAAATATTTATTAAAAACAACGTTTGAATGTTAATTCCCCCTCACACATCACCCGTGAAAGAGATTCTAGGGATGAGGAAATGAAACCACAAAGCCAGTAAGTGATTTGCCTGAGGCCTCAGCTGTAAATCAGGCTCTGAATTTGAGATTAGTTCTTCCTGCTCCCTCCATCCCCCTCTCTATGATAAGGCATAGTGCTGAACTTGTGCCCGCATTCCCTGGAATGCCATGCAGGACTGATGCTCATTGAGGGTTCAGACTGTGGTTCTGCAGTGAGATGGACCCTGCAGCTTCATGGGGAGCACCGGGGAGCAGCTGTGATCACGTTACTTCTCCCGAATGCTGTCACTCTGAGATGAAACTTGTCTTCTCCAGCCTTGAGTGTTTTCATGGCCTTATCAATGAAAACACAACCAAATGTAATTAGGTAGGTTATTCTGTGTTATTATCAAAGAACCCTAGGATGGTTTGAGTTCAAAGGGATCTTAAAGCTCATCTAGTTCCAACCCAATGCCATCGGCAGGGACACCTTCCACTAGACCAGGTTGCTCCAAGCCCCATCCAACCTTGCCTTGAAATTAGTGGGGAAAAGTGATTGGTATTGTCAGTTTTGTGCTGAAAAAGAGTTTTTAGGTCTTTCTGATTTCAGCCAACTCTTTGGTGATTTCTCACTTGGGTGACCCAACTCCTACATGGGCAACCATGAGGCCACCCCACCAACAGATCAGGAGCCTCGCTCTTCTCATGGAGACAAAACACAACTATCTCAATTCCCTTTTGCAAGTTGGTGGAGCTCATGTGGCCCTGGTGAGCATCCATGAGCATGGATTTGGATACCCAAATCCACCTGGGTGTCCAGGCTGGGCGACCATCCCTGCACAGTGCCGTGCCACACAGCACAGATGTGCCTGCAGAGCCTCATGCCAGACACGCTTCCTCCTGGGGGCTTCTCCACATAATTCCCTTGCGTATTAAAAGTTGTTTATCCTGTGCTTTAAAGCAGGATGCTTCCCTTATCTGCAAGCAGAGCAAATTCCCCCCAGTGCCTCTGTGCCGTCATTCCTGGCCTGCTCCTGACTCCTGAGCTCGCTCAGTGCTGGTGGTGGCTCTGCGTTATCTCCTGTCTGCAGCGCAGACAGACCCTGCCTGGAGCAGCCTCCAGGCTCTGCAATACCAAGACCAATGTCTTCAAAGCCTGAAAATTGCTCTGTAATTTGAATCTTTAACAACACATGGAAAAATCTTCAGGAACTGGCCTGTATCATGTCTCCGAATGGCTTCATAAATACAACACTGAGGAATTTGGATACTCTCGTCTGTGTCCATGATGGATGTTTGCATTTTAAGAAAGAAATGCATTTGCTGCTTTTCCTTACCTCTGCAAAGCAGCTCAAATCCACTGTGCAGCTCCTTTTCCTGTCCCTTCCTTACCTTTAACCCCTGCCCCATGTCACTGGTGATTGCACCCAAACCAAAGGGCTGGGTTAGTCCCTGTCACTAGTTTCTGAGTCATTGGGCTCTGGTGGCTCCTCCTGGGCCACCATGAGGAGGAGGTTGTTAATCCCCCATTCCTATCAGTCTGAGACACAGAAAAGCCACATGCAGAAAGTTCAGATACGAAAAAAAAAGCTTGATGGAATGTATTTATCTGAAAACAATAGAGTCTGGATGGAAACTCAGTGTTTTACACCAATCATGTGGTTGTTGTTAATGTTTTCCAAAACACCCAGAGGTACCTTGTGTGTTAATAAGAGCAGCCTGTACTATTTTGCTTAAAAAGCAAAATGTGCATCTCTGCACCTAAAACTGCTCTTGTATTTCAGCCTTGTATTGACGCCCAGATGGCTGCCAGAGGAATTTCCCGTTCCCCCAAATCTGCAGTCACGGGGCTTGATTTCAGCCCAAGATGCAGCAGCAAATATTTATGGTTGCGTTTCAATGCTTCTTTTCCGTTCCCTTCCTTAAAGCAGGAGAATGTCCTGAAGCATGGATTGAGTCTGAACTGTGGCCCTGGCCACCCTCCTTTGCTTTCGGTTGCCCTGCATGGGCTGAGGTGCCATCCCTGGAGCCAGGTGCAGTGCTGGTGGTACACCAGTGGGACGATGCTGGGTGCTCGCAGGCAGCACAGGGTGGTACCGTGGGCTCCAGCCAGGTTTAACCAGGCAAAGGAGCAAACCCAGAAGAGAGCTGCTGCTGCAAGGAGGAATTGTTTAAAGCTGCTCCAGCAGCAAAGGCCAAGCTGGAGGGCTCATTTCCTCGGCCGTAGCGCTGCTGCAGCCCCAGAATCCCAAGATCCACTGATAGCAATTGAGCAAGGATTTCCATTTTTGGTGCGAGCTCAGACTTAAAATAGACAGTCTTGAGCGAGGAAGAAACTCTGTTGACAGAACATAGGGAACATTCCTCAAGTGTACTTTTGCAAAGGACTATCTCTGTCTTTAATCTCCTCGCCGTTTCCTGCAGGTCTCCCGGGCCCAGCTTCCCTCTCATTGTTAGTGGTGCTTTTGGAAATGACCTCAGGCAGTTTGCAGTGACTGGCGACCCACGGTCAGAATGACTAACCCAGTCTGTCTCCATCCCTTGGACATGTCCCATTGACTAAATAAATGACAGGCACTGACATGTGAATAGAAACAAAAACAGCCTGACAAGTGAAATCTTAACTCTTTGGAGCAAAGAGTCTGGATGCACGTTCAGCCTGACAGCAGAGCGGAGAGCAATCACTGCAAACAGTCCTGTGATGGCAGAAGTACATGGAGCCTCCCCAGCTGCTCAGGACACATGCAGATGGGGCAGACAAACACCTCTAATATTATTTTTAATTGTTGAAATTGTTTTCTGAAGCTTTTTATCTCAGCACATCTTTAATTAAAAGTGTGGCTGTGTATTTACGTGGCCCTTCTGTGTCTGGGTTCAGCATGAGTAATTCCATTGAATGCTATAAGCAAGGGTTAATGATGAGAAAGCCTGTCACAGGATCTTGGACTTATATTGTACATTGTCAGGTCTATAACTCGACATAGGTGAGCTTGTATCTGCTTCCAACCTACTGCACAGAAACACCCATGGGACAGATGATCCTGATTCCCCCAAGCCTTTATGGAACCTGCCAGCATCCACTGATGTCAGCTTTAGGAGGGATAGAAGGGGGGTGTAAGCTCTAAGACAGATGTATGTACTTCTAGGTCTCCTATAGGCCAGCAGCACTGCGTGCTGTCATGCTTCAAGGCCTCAATTCCTCCTCTGAATCCCCACTAACACATTTTGCTGAGCTCCCTCCAGCCCCAACCCCAGCTAAGCGACACCAGTCTGAGAACATGCCACGCCATCCCAGCGTGATATGGATTTTGTAGGGCCCAGACAAGCTGCCTTTGCAATCTAACAATAGTTTTACCAAGAAGAATAGAATTGCTGTTAATAAGCTACATTTGTGGATTTTTTTGGTTGGAAAAGTAGGAAAGTATTCTCTTTAATATAATCAAAATCTATTTGCTATGCTGTAATGACAATAATTAATAATGCTGCTTAGCAGTTATTAGCACTCGGTGCATTGTTAGGATGTCTGCATTAGCTAAGGTTTAATAATGAAGTTCATATAAATCCAAAAGAAGAAAATAATGATATGGGGAGTGGTTGTGGAGCTGTGGTCTGATGGCTTCTTGCTTTAATGTAAGTAACAAATAATTCCCTCTGGCTCTCAGCATTTGTGGATAAGGCCATAAAAAAGGAAGGAAAAAAAAAAAGGAAGGAGGAAACCTCAGCTAATAAAAATGCCACCCCTGCTTTACGACTCGGGGAGGAACGTTTGTTGTTTGGCTAATGGCGAGATTAATAACTTGTGTTGGGATGGTTGATGTCATTCTCTCGTCCTGCGTGTTGAACATTTGCATTGAGAGTATGGGGACTGTACTGGCAGCATGCTGTTCCTCAGTGCAAGGCATGGGTGAGCCACTGGGTCATTAGCACAAATGGTGACCAGTGCCACAGCAAGGGGATGTGGAAGCAGCAGCAGCTGCAGCCCGCAGTTGGTGGCTTCGGGAGGTGTTGGCAGCTCTGTCAGCTGAGACAAAAATGATGTCCTAACTTGGGGATTATTCTTTTTAATGCCACACAATTTGATAGAATCATGGAACGGTTTGGATTGGAAGGGACCTTAAAGCCCATCCAGCTCCAACCCCTGCCACGGGCACGGACCCCTTCCACTGGAGCAGCTTGCTCCAAGCCCCTGTGTCCAACCTGGCCTTGAGCACTGCCAGGGATGGGGCAGCCACAGCTTCTCTGGGCACCCTGTGCCAGCACCTCAGCACCCTCACAGGGAAGAGCTTCTGCCTAAGAGCTCAGCTCAATCTCCCCTCTGGCAGATTAAAGCCATCACCCTTTGCCTTTTTGGTCTCAGTTCATCCACAGCTGATGATCGTGCATTAATCATCATTTACTCAGTAGCCAAATAAAAAGAGGCTGAAAGGTAAAAAACACTCACTTCATGTAAGATTTCATTTGTTACCAGGTATCTGCTCCAGTCAGTGCTCCATCCTCTTGTTCTCATCCCACATTGTGCCTGGATAGCCCGACGGGCCATAGGAGGCCTTCTGCTGTTTCCAGACATCGGGACAGTTTTGCATCCCTGTGCCAGGTCAGTTGTAGCATGGGCTGGACTTTGGGTAGAGTGGGTAAGAGCCAGCATGCGGGGTCAGGCTGTAGAGTCAGGCATGGTCCCAGGTAATCAGCTGTGTAAGAAGGTAAATAAGAGGTCAGATTTTGGCTGGGCCCTATCCAGGGAAGGTGATCAGGGCTACACCAGTTACACCCTCCGAGGGCTTGGCTGCTAGAGATGCCTGGCACCAAAATAGCAGTGAGAAGGTTTAGTGCTGAACTATGGAAAACCCCAGTTGTGGCTCCAGAAGGATGTCAGGGGGTCTGCAGGGGAGATCTGCACCTCCAGGGCTGCCTGACTCAGTGTTTCATCCACAGGTCTGTGTCCATGTACTGGTGGCTGGGATGGCTGCCCAGCAGGGAGACGTCCTGCTGGCACCCAGGCTGCCTTAGGGAAGAAGCTGCTGCTTCTGATCATCTCTGAGGTGTTGGAGCCAGCAGTTTCCTGGACAGAGATGTCTTCTCAGCACTATTTAAGGTACAGCAGGACCAACCCTGCAGGGTGCCTGCTCAGAGAGGGGTTTCTCATTCCATGGTGTGGCAATGGGATACAGAACATTCTCTGGAGACCTGACTGGCTTCCAGCCACCATCTCCTTTCTCAGCAAAGCCTGCTCCATGGGCTGGGTGTCTAAGAAGCAACTGTGCTACTCCTGGGTCAAACTGCATACTTCTGCATCCTGCTTAAGGATGATTTGCTCTCAGTAACACCCAGCAGTGCCAATGACTTTAGGGTCAGCTCCTTTCTTCCTTAATCCTGCTTTCTATTTTCACATTCTTCTGCATGAGCAAGCCCTGGAGATCCCACAGCCAGCTGCCAGCAGAGATACTCAAAACACAGTTTCAGAGCAAAAAGAGATGTCGTTTTGGTACTTTAGCAGTGATTGCCTCTGGCTACCTTCAGTCCGGGCTCAGACCAGAGAAGACAATATTCTCTTTCTCCCATAACGATTTCCATATCCCCATTTTGAGGTTGCAAGCAGTTGGGGGAAGCTGGTGTCCTGGGACCAGCTTTTGAAGCTGCTTTCAGCCTTGCTGCTTTCAGCCTCTCCAGCCAATGACTCAGTCACTATTTCTATTCTCTTCCCACTTCTGTTCCTGCTTCTCTAAAGTTTTGGTCGGTGGCAGCAGCTTTTGCTAATGTTTTGTGGCTGCTTCTCTCTGCGTTATTATTGGAGATGCCTATGAAATAACAGAGCTGCTCTTTAAGACACTGCTGCACCACTGCAGAAAATATTTACCAAAGCTGTGGTAAGCAGCTCTTTACTGGAGTGACTGGCGTCTGCTCTGGGGCGCACCAGACGCCAGTCTCTTCAGCAAAAGCTGCTGCAACAGAACAAATTGCCCAGGGCAGCAGATCTTGGGAAAGGAGGAAAGCCAGCAGCCCTGTCTGTCTGCCTTTGTGTTTTCGAAGGCAGAAAAATTATCTTTTTACAAGCCTGCCCTAGTTGGCTCTGACCAGCTCTTCCCAGAAAATACCATCATAAATAGAAGAGCAAACTATTGCATAAACGGACAGGTTGCCATTTATATCTGACCTTTCTCAGCTCTTCTTTGATGGCTTCGTCAACCGATGCTTCCTTCTCGTCCAGCCCCACCGTGTTTTTAGCTCCTGCTTCTAGGAGAGCACCACTGGGCACCACAAACCTCAATTAAAATCCATTTTGGGCATAGGTGTAGACTCCCTCAGCTCTCTGGAGCAGCTCCAAATAGAGTAATCCTTTTCTTAATCCTGCCCTCCCAGGGAACTTCCAGGTTTGTGTTTGCAAATTGTATGGGTAAATATGGATAGGGGGAGATGGATTTACTTTTAAAGACTCTGGGCTTGGCATATTACACACAGTTTGTTGCTAGACCAGCCTGGTGGCAGCAACACAGCACCACACTGGTTTCCTTCCTCAGACAGACCCTTTCCAGCTCCAAAATGACAATTCACCAAAGCCAACCCAAAAAACAGTAAAGGGCAGTTTCATAACTGGGTGTTATCTGCCTGGAAAGGGCTCCAGAAAAGCAGACTGTCTCCACAGGCTGCTGAATAAATGCTGATAAAAAGGACAAACTCCTGTGTGTTTGTTATGGGTGGTGTGGGTTTGAGATGTATCCTCTGGTGGATGCAGGCAGTTGGAATTCCCTTCCTATTTGAACACAGCATCTGGTTTATGTGATATTACTTGACCCCTATAGCCAGACCAGGGCAGGAGGAGTTTAATGGCAAAGCCCTGCTGTGCTGCCTGCAACTGGGGAAGGACAGAATGAGGCTGAGGTAAATGCTATGAGTTGTTGTAGGCCTAGAATCCCCTCTTCTCTCATGCAAATGGATGGCTGGACTGAGCATGTACATCTCTCTCCTGCAGGAGTCTCAGAGGCTGCACCATCCTTGGACTGGCTGAATGTGACTACTTCTCCTCCCCAACCACTTCATCTTGCACCAGCATCTGCTTGTGAGAACCCTGGGAGCCAACCACTGTACTCACGTTGGATCAGAATGGACAACAAGGTAGGATGTCTTCCTGGATAAAGCACTAGATTAAGGCCCAAGAGTCAATGTCTTCATCCTGTCCACCCCCATGCCTCATTTTATCTGATTATTAGTTCAAAGTAACATAGAAAATCACTGTCAATGGCATTGCAAAAGGCACTGAAAGGTTTGGTGGCAGGTAGGCCTTCTTCCCCTGCATCAGCAGCTTCGTTCCAGAGCACAGAGGAGTAACGCTGCCTGGCAGTCACTCCTGCACCACACTGGTGGTCAGGAGATCCACATCCTGCAGCTGTCAAATGCATCTGTAAAGCAGAGGTAGGGTCACAAGGTTCTGTTGCTTTGAGGAATCACAGCTTTGCTTTCCAACCCCAGAAGTCCTCAGAAGCCTACCTCTGGGGGAGCAGTGGCCTAAACCTCCCCCATCTTCTCAGCAGCACTCATTGAGTGTGTACAGCAGCTAAGGAACTTCTGCCCTCAGTCATCCTGGACAGAAGCACGGGGTTGGAGCAGTTTTGAGGTGTGACAGCAGGGGAACCTCCTCAGAGGACGGTCTTGTCCCCATGTGCCATTTGTGCTCTCCTAGATGCCAGTAGCAGGGACTGGACTGGAACTATCAATCAGCCAACAAAGCCAACTCGTAGCTACTGGCCACAGGACTGGCAAACCCATTGAAACCAGTGGCTGCTGTTCCCTCGCTGACACCAGCCTCCTGAGCCAGCAACAGTTCTCAGCAGTTGTTGGTCTAATCCAGTGTGCTCAGTGGGGAATAATACAGGGGATAGTCCTGGTCTTGTGGACTGGCCTGACTTGTGGTTCAGTCCCTCTTCATCCTGACCCAAACCAGGGAACTGAACCCAAGACCCTGTATCTCAGATGGGTGCTCTCATCTCCAGCATCCATCTCCATCTCATCTGGGCTTTTTCTCCCCAGATAACAACTATTTATAAAGCTGCATCCGAGAGAGAAATGAGGCTGCAAGCACCCACAGAGCTGAGTCTTCTCCTGGGATGCAAGAGTCCAGCTCCCTGCTCCAAGCAAGGGGCCTCTCCTGCAGCAGGGACCACTGTGGATGGGTGCCATCACCCACTGCTGAGGACCTGTTGGGAGATGATTGTACCTCATTGGGTTTGACTAGAAATCCAGGCTTGGGCCCAGGCAACCTTTCCAAGCAGCACTTTGTGGAGGTCGTTTGCTACCAAAAAAAAAAAACCCAAAAAAAGTTTTGGCTTTACCAAACAGCCATTTTCTGACACAAGAAAACACGTTGTCAAAAATCCTTCCCAACCGTTCTGCTGGGACTGTGCTCTTTGCCATCAGTCCCCAAGGCTGGAGCGCTGGGGTGTTGAAATGCTACTACAGCCCTGGAAACTGTGAGTCAGCTTGTCCCCACCCACAGCAGATACTGGTGGGAAGGGCCTTGAAAAGCCTGGAAACTCCTGCAGTTTTTGCCTTGTGGAGTTTTCATTAACCCATTAACATTAATTTCAGGTCCAGTGAAATGCGGGTTTTGGTGAATTTTGATTGGATTTTGTCCCTTTTTCGACCCATCCCCTTTGTGATTCTGATAAATGTTGCAGGATATTTAGTTTCTTTTTGTCCCTGAGCAATTTGGCTGCCGTGGCACCAGTTCACCCCCCAAGCCCTGTGGGACAGGCTGGACCTGGGCAGCAAATGCAGCACGCGCCGCGATGCCACCAGATCCAGTGGGGATTTGGCTGGGATCGCCGGATGGCAAAACTTTCATCCCACTTGGAGGAAAGGTGCCAACACAAACTTTGCCAGTGCAAAGCCCTCCGGATCACTGTGCTGGGATATGAATTCATTGATGTAGGCATCTCCTGGCAGGGAGGAAGGTCATAGAGAGGTGTCCCAGGAGAGCAGATGTGGGGCTGCTCTGCTCCCCATTGGGATGCAGGCAAGAGCCACATGGGAGCACGCACACAACTCAGAGCAGTCTGTGCAAACCACTGACCTCAGGCTATCTCGGAGCCATCCACACACTGCATTTAGTGCCAACTGGAAAACACGTGGGGGTAGCAAACCCCAGGTCTTAACACAGCATACGGTGATGTGAAACAACCCACAGTGTGTTCCCCTGACACATATCCCAGGAGTGGTGGCAAAGGATGGCTCCAACAGGAGCCCTGAGGAGCTGGGATGGGCTTTGCTGTAGCTGCAGCCCACCCGGGATGGAGGCACACACTGAGGTGGTGGGGCGGATCACATCCTCTGCATCAGGGATTCCATGGTGCCAAGCTCTGGGAGCACGGAGCCCAGCGGTTGTGAAATCCCCCATGAAGGAACATTCTTCAAACAGCTATTTTTTCTTAACAACTTTGGATTTATCAGAATGCCTTGTTCTGATTTTAGCTCTTTCCATTTTGAAGACAGTCCAAGGTCCTATCACAGTGTGTTACCACACAGAATATAACATTTGCAAGGGTAAAATGAAAAGTCGGTTTGAACTGGAAAATCACGGCCATGTCGTTAAAACAAAGGAAATGGGACATTCTGATGTTGTCAAAACCTTTTTTCTCTGGTTCCTTTCAAAATCAGCTTCCAGCAAAACCAGCCTGATTTTATGAGGCGGTTTAGTTCTTGGCAGAGCCCCTCGCTCTGGCGCAGCAGTTCCGTTGTGGTTTCTCTGGTGGGGCTCATACACTCCATGTCCCTGTCCCCGGGCTGTGACATGGGGGTGCAGTGTGTCCCCAACCCTCACTGCCCCACACTGGGATCCCCATCTCGACCCCATTTTCAAAGCGTTTAAATAATCTACCAATCGAGCCATCAAAGCATTATTTAAATGGCAATTACTCATTTTGGGCTTTAACCTCCACATCCTTCTCTTTGACCGGAAATGCATAAAATACTAGAGATAAAATAAAGCTGAAAATTATTATAAGATTAGTTTTCCTTACTAAAAACCCAGTTCCTGCTGATGCCTCTGACCCCACTGGCATGGACACAACGGCAACCCCCAGCCATAGATTGGCTCTGGAATGAGACTGGTGCTGATGCCCTTTTGGCCACCCACCATCCTCCCAGACCCAAGAGGGTTTGGCTTTATATAGTACCTGGGAGATCCATGTCAGATAAGCCTGGCAGGCTTTCAAAAGCTTCTCCCTAGCTTTTGTGCCAAGTCCTATAGGATGTGTTCCAGAGCATCTCCCAGGAATGTTTGTTATTACGACAAGCAAAGAAAAAGAGGTGGGGGAAAAAGAGGCAGTGAAAGAGCACATTGCTGTTAATTACTAGAAATCCTTTAATAACCAGCATTACTAAAAATTATATGTGCATTATGACAAGTACAATTGAGTGTTTTGTTTTTCTTGCCCACATTAGTGCAAGGAACAATGTGCTCTTGTTGCAGGAGCTGGAATGGGTGGCACTGGAGGGGGAAATCAGGGCTTCTCCATCACATACCTGTGCCCGCAGAGATGGTCGGGATTCCATGAAAGCTCCATTGTTCTTCATGCCATGCTACACGCACTATGATTATATAGTGTTGGATAAGCAGTAAGACATTGAAATAATAACCTATCCTTAGTTTAAACAGTGCTATATTTAAGATTTATGTATATTTAAATGTGGGTAATTGCACATTTGTGACATACTGTAATTTGGCTGGCAGTCTGTAAATATGATATTGGAAAGAAAAGCATCAGCTGCATTTAAGGAGGTAAATGCTAGGGTCATGCAGGGCGTATTGATCAATGTGGATATTAAACAAGCTTTGGAACCTCTCTGGAGCAGCCTAGGGATGGGCAGGGATCCTGCCTGGCTCCAAGATCCAGGAAATCCTAATTCCTGCTTCCATGTCTGAGAATCTTTATTTTCAGCCCTTCCATGACTTTTAACTTAACTTGTTTTCATTCCCTAATGCAAAAAGAAACTATTAGGATCTTCCTAACACAGTGAGACATTGACTGACTTTTGTAAATAGCTCTAAATGGTGGTAATGGTGATGTAGGTGCAAACTGTAGCTGCTCTGCAGGTCAGTGAGAACACAGGGCCATCATGGACATCATTTCCACCCAAAGCGAGCCAGTGCCCAAGTAACATCACCCGGGTTTACTGCAGAAAGGCCAGGGGAAAAGGAGCTTTGGTCAGTAAGGGCAGAAGTAACCCTGAAGTCAAAGACCTACTGGTGTGTTATCTTTACGTTGGTGCAAACACCACTGGGTCCCACATACAGGTTTTAAATGGGGTATTTTGGAATCCCTTACGTAGTTGATGCACATGAACTAAGTTGGCTGTAAAAAATGTACTAACTTAACAAGTGCATTTAAATGATCTTCTTGGATGTTTTCCTGCAGGTTTGGGGAAACATGGACATCAGCCTTTGGTTATGGCAAGAGCTATGCAAAGATTCAAGGAAAACGATGGATATCCAGGTTTGACTGCAGTTTCTTGGTCGAAATACTTTTATTGGTTTATTTTTGGGGTGGTTTTTTCCCTGCTAATCAACTGCAGGGAAACAGTTGTTGAGATTCATTTTCACTCATCATTGACAATTCCCTGTGGGTACCCGCTGAGCCCCCAGACAAAGCTGCATCATTTGCTATTCCAGGTTCCTAATGACCCACACCACGCTGCTTCCCACGAGCGAGGGGAATGTCCCCCCCGACCCCCCAGGATCGAGCCCGACGGCCGGTTCCTCCGGAGCGTGTCCCTGCCTCGGCCAAAGGCTGCTGTGCCCGTGGGACCTCCTCGCCTGAACCCCGCAAGAAGAATCGCCTTTTTGCGGTATTTCATTAGGTTTTTAATTAACCGGACGGGTGGGGGGGGGGTGTCCCATCCGCACCCGCATCTCCCACAGGGGCACCCTCCTCCCTCCCTCCGCGCCACCGCCGTTCCCACCCGGCCGCGTGGGGCGGGACGCGGCGCCGTGCCTCCCCGACAGCCCTCCCCTACCTCCGGGGCCCTGCTTCCACCCTCCCGCTGCCGGCGGCCTTGCCCCGCCGCTGCAGCCGCCCGTCCGTCCTGCCCCCCCCAACCCCATCCCCCGAGGCCGCTGCCGGGGCACAGGGCGGGCACAAGGACCCCGCGCGGTGCGGCCCGCGGAATGTCTTTCATTCACGGGCACGCCGCGCCGGGAGGCGCTGAAGGGGTGGGCGGTGCCGGCTCGGCGTCCGGACCAATAGGCTGTGGCGCTGCCATGGCGTCACGCTGCGGCGGACCAATGGGTGAGCGCCGGGCCTGAACTTTTGCCACGGCGGACAAGTTGATACATCGCGGGGGTGTGTCCCGCCGCGGCGGCTCCGGGGGGGGGGGGGGAAGGAGGGGGAGCGGCTTTAACCCCTGCGCTGCCGCCGCGCCGCCGTGACCTACTTTCTCCGGGGCTGGGGGCCGCGGCGGGACACAGCCCCCCCACTTCCTCCTCCTGCCATCCCCGGTCGCCGCTGATGGGAGGGAGGGAAGAAGGGAGGGAGAGAGGGAATGCTCCTCGGTGCGGGGAGGGCGGTTGGTGACGGGCGTGTGTGTGCGTGTGTTCGTGCAGCGGGGCTCGTGTTCCTTTAAGAGCTCGGAAACCCGATGCGGTGTTTGCGCAACGCCCGGTGCCGCGCGGAGCCGCCAAAGTGTCTAGACTGGCACATGATGGGCGGCAGCCAATCGTGCCGCCGCTCGCGAAGGGGCCCCGCGAGCGCGCGCGCGCGTACCCCGCTCCCTCCCTCTTCCCCCCCCCTCCCTCCCTTCACCCCCCCCCGTCAGCCACACAAAAGCCAGCGGAGGGCGGGGGGGCGGGCGCGAGCGGGCGCGCCGGCGGGAGCCGTGCGCAGGGACCTGGCGGGAGCGGAGCTGGACCGAGAGCGGGCAGACGGAGCCCGCGTGTGCGCGGGCAGGGGCCGCGCGCGGGTCTCGCCCTTTTGCTGCTTTTGATCATTTTTTACCCTTTTTTCTTTAATAATTTTTCTGGTTTTTGAACGATTTTTGGCCGAACGGAACGGGCAGCTCCGAGCGCGGAACCCGGCGCCGCTTCCACCCATCTTCTCCCAGCTCCCACCTTGTACGGTGGAGCAGCCGCGGGGCGCAGCCGAGCGCTGCCCCGGGCTCACCCCCGGCCCCGTCCCCGCGTTGGCAGCCGATGTAGGGCACGGCGCGGCGCGCCCGAGCCCCAGCGCCGCCACGGGAGCGGCCTTGCACCGCCTGCGGGCATCGGCGCAACCCCCGCGGCACCGTCTATGCCCGCGCCGCGCTTCCTCCCCCGCCGCCTTCCCCCATGGTGCGGCCCCCGCCGCGGGCCGTCGGCGATTCGCTGGGAAGGGCCGCGGGGAAACGGCGGCGCCGGGAGGTGCGGGCAGGCTGCGAGGGCGGCGGGTCTGAGATGAGATAGAGCCGGCGGCGGAGCGAGGAGCCCCGCGGAGGGGGGGGGAAGCGGCGGAGAGCGACGCGACCCCCGGCCGCCCGCGTGTCGTATGTTCAGGTCCAAACGCTCAGGGCTGGTGCGGCGACTTTGGAGGAGCCGCGTCATTCCGGACAGGGACGGCGGAGATGGGAGCGCCAGGAGCGGCCACGACCTCGGAGCCACCGGTAGCTGTAAAACCCCGGAGAAAAACCCTTCGTCGGAGATCCGCGCGGTAGCGCGCAGCCTGCTGCGGGAGGCGGAGGAGCGGCGGGGTGAGGCGGCGCCCCGCGGGGACCCCATGGCGGAGCGGCGCGGGGCCCGGCTCCGCTCCCCACCGCGGCGGGACGGCGCCGGCGGGGCGAGCCCGCGGCGGGCGCCGGAGAGCGACGGTCGGACCGTGACCTGCTGCCTCTTCAAGGAGCGGGAGCCGGGCGGCCCCCAGCTCCCGGACACAGACGCCGCCGGCGGCCCCCCCAGCCCCGACGGCGCGGACGACGGCGGCTCCCCGGAGCGGCGGGGCCGGGAGGCGCGGTCGCGGCTGGTGCTGCTGGAGCAGGAGCTGAAGGCCGTCACCTACTCGCTGCTGAAGCGGCTGAAGGAGCGCTCGCTGGACAGCCTGCTGGAGGCGGTGGAGTCCCGCGGGGGCATGCCCAGCGGCTGCGTGCTGGTGGCCCGCACGGAGCTGCGCCTGGGGGGCCACGCGGCTCCCCCCCACCTCCTCCTGGGGAAACTCTTCCGATGGCCCGACCTGCAGCACCCCGCCGAGCTGAAACCCCTCTGCGAGTGCCAGAGCTTCGGCGTTGCTGACGGACCCACCGTCTGCTGCAACCCCTACCACTTCAGCCGCCTTTGTGGGCCAGGTGAGGAGCGGAGCGGAGTCGGGGACCTTCCCTCCCCCATGATTCGGGGCATCTGGCCCTTTCCTCGGCTTATTTGAACCCTGGGGATGCTCCTGGCTCCGGGGTGGCATTCTACCCGGCCTCAGTTCCCAGTTCTGCTTAAAAAGCCCCTTTTCCTCCCCGTCCCGCGGAGGTTCCTCTGCTGCTGAGGTGCAGGAGGGGCCATAACGGGCCGTTCGCATCCTGCCGGCGCCAGCCTGGCTGCTGCCGCTCGGAACGGGGCCGGAGGGGCCGCGGGGGATGGCCCGAACTAGCCTGGAAGCGCCGGGACGCGGAGCACATGCGTTCCTTGGGCAGTGCTTTACAGCAGCGTCCTGCTGACGGTCCCTTTCTTGGCAAAACCTCGGATTGATTATTATTTATTATTATTACTTGCTTTGCAGTCTGGGCTCCTGCCTCTCTTTGCATCACTTCTCTCAAAGAAACTTCTGTGCTGGGCGTGCTTCTCGCCGAGCTCGCTAGAGGCTGGAAGCAGCTCTTTTTCTGCTCCGGTTGGTGTAGATGAGCGTTTGGAGGAGCCCTGCGTGTGTTTCGCAGACGGGCAGAGTTTTCCCAGCTCCTCTCCTGCGGCCGTGGTGGGTGGTTTCCCCAGCGGTGCAGGGCTGCTGTGCGCAGGGGGGAGTAGGAGCAGACGGAGCTTTATCGAGTGGCTTCTTTATCGTTTTGATAGCGGGTGCCGGTGCCAGGGTCTCGTCGGCGCCTGCGGGGCGCTGGGGATGATGGAGGGAGCCCGAGAAAGTCCTTGATGCCCTTTTCCATGAGTGTGTGGCTCCCTTTGGAAACCATCCGTGTTCGTGCAGGCGATGCAGCTGAACGGTGTGAAAATGCCTCGGTGCTTGGGGTTGGTTCCGTATGGCAGCAGGACTGACTGTAGCATGGCACTGACCCACTGTGCATGGCACAGGTTGGGTTGTTATATCCAGATTGGGACATTGGCACCATTATTTTTTTTCTGTTAGGAAGCTCTTGAGGGCCTTGTGAGAAGAGCATCTTGATGCTGGGCAGCTTGCTCGGTTAGGGGGGATGAGGAACCCTTGCTTAGAAACCATAAATGACCACAGGCCATCCCAGAGTCATCACATGGGTGATGCTGGGGTGGTTCTTGGTGAGCTAACCCGAGTTGGGCTGAGTGCTTTTGGTGTGTGGGAACTGAGGAGCACACCCTTGTTCCAGTAGGCTGGGGTAAAGGTGATGCCATTGACTGCTCAGTGTAGTCAGTGTGTGCTCAGTGCTGGTACCATGGTACAGCCCAGCCGGCTGCACAGTCCTCAATTTTAGCAGGTTGTAATTAAAGAAACGCGTCACCACCGTAATTCAGAAGGAAAAAACCCTCTAACCAGAGCATGAAGTTGGTGGAGGACCTTAGTCAGCCTTTTGTACGGCCTTGACTCTTTACAAGAGCAGCAAGGGCTTGGTAGGTGACCAGAACACTTCCAAGGGTTTGCTTAACTTTAAGTCCATGACTGCTGATGTGCTGCCACATAAAGCTGAGTGTGTGCTTGGGATCTTTGCTGGGTGGAGGTCAAGGGGAGCAGGGTCGTGGGGGGCCTGGCCTCTGCTGCTGAGCCCCTTGAGTGCCAACGGGTTCTTTGGGATGGACCAGAGTTACTTGGATTGGCTGAAGTCAGTCTGGTCCCTGGCATCAGGCTTCATGTACCAAGAGAGGAGCAACTTTTTCCCACCGAACACCGTATTTCAGGCCTTGTAGTGTGTTTGGGGAGCTTCTGTGAAGCCTGTGCGTGTTTGAACTGTGGTTGGAGGGTCAGCTCTGAGAGCAGATGATGTAAGCACCGTTCTTTGGGAGCCCCGTGCCATTTTGTGTGCTTCAGGTTGTGGGGGCCCATGCAGGGAGACAGGGCAGGGGGTGCAGGGGAGAGCTACAGCACTTCCAGTAATAAACCCCCCCTTGAAAGGTCAAGGTGGAACCCCCATTCTTCGAAGGTTAGGAAAATTCTTGGCCTTGAGTTGCTTCCAAGTGGGTTTCCTTCCATTGGGTGTTTACAACCTTGGAAGAGCTCCTGCCCTGACAGAGCAAGCGCCAGGGTTTCATTGACAAACTGAGCACAGCACTAACATTAAGTTTTGTTTTCCAGAGTCTCCACCACCTCCCTACTCTCGGCTGTCT